CCTAGAATAGTTTCATCCAGGGGAAATCTTTCAACTATAAAAGTCAAGATTATCCAATTCTTTGCTCATTCAGAARCAAAAGAGTCATGAGATATGAGATCAATTATCCCTGAGCCAGTATAGTTAAAAATCAATTGATGTGAGGAAAGAGGGAAGTGATATTGGCCAAACTGTATTGTTGCGCTGTGTGCATKTACAAATATGTAACAACAAATCCCATCAATATGTACAACTATAATGCACCAACAAAAAATGTGGAAAAAAATTAACCGATTTCCAAGAATGGTAGATTGGATACAAGGATTTACTCCTCCTCCCTTTTAATATAAAAGTAAAGGGATTTGATTTTACTCTTTTCAAGGTRTAAAGCTGCTGAGACAATAAGAATATGAGGAAAGACAATTGTTTCAGAAGCTGGAAGGTGGACAGAACTGAATCTGAAATGACAGTGGACAGAGCCAAGACCAACCCAATTTTTACCACAGAATCCTCAAAACACTCTGGTGGCATTACTGGAAGTAAGGGACAATGGAAGGGATCAATTAATATGCTGAATATGTTGAGTGCTCTTGAAGGGGCAGCTAGAACCCCCAGAGCAGGCTTGCTTTTCCTCCATAAAGCTGAGCCGTCGCTCTTTTCTCCATCTTAACAGAGTTTGAAGATACTGGACAGTTTAAAATACAGACCTCTGGGTGAGGAATTAGGCACAATTTGGGGATAGGGCACTGTGATGAGAATTAGGGATTCAGGGAACACAGGCATGCTGTGATAGTCCCAACAGCCCCCTCCTCTGACTTGGTCCCCAGAAAGACAACACCCAGGCCCAGACCCTGCAGGAATTGCAAGATCTTCTCTGTGTGATCCAAAGAGCTAAAGAGGAAGCATCCTAGAGAAACTGACATGGGGTAGGCACATAGCTCTGTGGTAGAGGGCTTGCCTAGCATGCATGAGGCCCTGGGTTCATGGTCTCAAGAATCAGCACTGAGAAAGAAAGAAATAAAGGAAGGAAGGAAGGAAGGAAGGAAGGAAGGAAGGAAGGAAGGAAGGAAGGAAGGAAGGAAGGAAGGAGATTTGATAGAGAAACTGACACTGGTGGCTCCTCAGGTAAAGGGTTATGAAGAGCACCTTGAGTGAAGTTGTTACAAACTGGCCCCGTGTGCACCCACAAGGTTCCAGTCAGCCTTGCTTTTCCGCATTCTTGAATATAACAGACAAGGAAGAGCCACCTGACATCTGAGGAAAGAATCCAAAACAATAAAACAAACATCACCTTGCACAAAAGGATACAATCCTTAGAAAATCTCTAAGACAAATGGTCCAGTTTCTTCAACAAATTACATGGAAAACAAGGAGAGAGACAGCAGACCCTGTATAGATTAAGAGACTTCAAACACATAATAACCAACAGTTGCACTGTATGAACCTTATTTGAGTACTGGGGATTTGAAAAAATCCAACTGTTTTGGTTTGTTTAAATATGAAATCATCAGTGATTTAAATATTAGTTGGATATTCAATATTAAGGAACTGTTGTTAATTGTTGGTTTTAGGTATGACATATTATGGTTATGTTTTAAGAGTTCTTATATGTTATACGTTATATGTTAGTTCTTATATGTTATATATACGGAAATATTTATGGATGAAATGATATGACGGTTGAGATTTGCTTCAAGACAATCTAGGTGTGGATTGATTAAATAATTGTGGCCATAGGATGAGGGAACATGAAAATCTTTTATATTATTCTATGTTTGAAATTTTCCACAATGGAGAAAAACTATCATAAGAATTCTCAGAGAAGACAATGACCCTAAGACTTTTTCTGACCCTGAGACAGAACCAAAATAACATTAAGAAAGGGAACATTCAGAGTATTTTAGAAAGCTCCTATAAATAAAAAACTAATAAGAAAAATAATATAGTCACTAAAGAGCTGGGGGAAAAAATTGACAAATCCCAAGGAGTACAGCTAAATGTTATTAGAAATGAAAATTAAAAAAATATTTTAAAAGTTGGAGGACCAGGGCTGGGGATGTGGCTCAAGCGGTAGCGCGCTCGCCTGGCATGCGTGCGGCCCGGGTTCGATYCTCAGCACCACATACCAACAAAGATGTTGTGTCCGCCGAGAACTAAAAAAATAAATAAATATTAAAAAAAAAAAAAAAAGTTGGAGGACCAGTCCAGAAGGTCCAAAATCTGGGTAATGGTTCCAGGAGAGAAAAGAAAAACAAGAGGAAATAATTCATTAACATAATAATTTAAAGTTCCCCAAACTGAAGACCATGGATTTCTAAAAGGACACATCAACTGCTCACACAAAAAATGAAAACAGGCCCACAGCACGGCTCCACGAGGTCACTGTGAAACTGCGCAACACTGCAACAAAGAGATTCAGCAAGTTTCCAGAAAAAATAAAACCCCAAACTGGACTATATATAAAAGATTAGGAATCAGAAGTATTTGGAATCTCACAACAGAAAAATCTCAAAGGCAATGGAGCAATATCTTCAAACTTCTGAGGGAAAATTATCACCAATACAGAGTTCTATATCTAGCCAAACTACCAATCAAAGACAAAGCTAGATAAATCTTAAATTTGGTCTTTTCGTGTTATCCCATAATTCATGGTTTTTTACTATCCTCTCTGCAAGATCAACTTTATTTTCAAGGTTATATATTTTGTCTTCTTTGCCTGAGGCTCTGTCTTCCAAGTGGTCTAGTCTGGTGATAATGTTTTCCATTGAATTTTTAATTGGGTTTATTGATTTCTTCTTTTCAAGGAATAGAGTTACTTTGGATTAGATAGAGGGGAGTGAAGGAGGGGAGGGGTAGAGAGGTAGGAAGATAGTAGAATGACTTTGACATTATTACCCTATGTACATATATGACTACACGACTGGTGATTCTTCATCATGTACAACCAGAAGAATGAAAAATTATACTCCATTTATGTGTGATGTGTCAAAA